ACTCGAGAAGGTTGTCGCGCTCGTATTTTAGTTTTGTCATGTGAGGAGGGTTGTAAGATTATTCAGTTCGAAGAGTCCCATGTCCATCCCATGGTTACTCCGAGCAGAAGACATTTCATGTCTTCATCGAGGGAAGTTTCTACATCGCACAAGCACATGTTGTGTAGTGCTGGCAGAGTCAATGTAGGTCCCTCTAAGGTTTTTGATGTTATGGCTGAGGTAATGATGGGTCATCAAAATGTGGGTTGTACGAAAAAGGATTTTTTGAACTATCAAAGAAGCTTGAAGGCTGTCATTAAAGACAATGATGCCCATATGTTTATTGACATGTTAAAGAGGAGAAAAGAGACAGAGCCAGGGTTTTATTTCACATATGAAGTGGATGAAGAGAGTCGCTTGAAGAGAGTGTTTTGGGCTGATTCATTAAGACGTTTAAATTACTCTTCATTTGGAGATATACTCTCATTTGACACAACACATGGCACGAATAAGTATGATCATACTTTTTGTCCCTTTACTGGTGTGGATAACCACCGTAAGGTTAGCCCTTTCTGAAGTGTTTAAGAAATCAATACATAGGTTTTGCATCTGGCATATACTAAAAAAAGTTCCGGAATATGTTGGCCCCACTGCGAATTCATCTGAAGACTTCCATACGCGTTTGAAATCCTGTGTTTGGTCCTCAAAGAGTCCTGAAGAATTTGAAGAGGAATGGCTACGCATAATGACTGATTTTGATATGTTGTGTAATGATTGGTTCACGCATATCTTTTCAATAAAGGAGCAATAGGCCCAGGTATATTTTGATACCACATATTTAGGTGCTGTTGTAAGAACAACGTCGGGTTTAGAAAGCCAAAACCAAACGTTCAGTTGTTTGACAAACCAACTAATAAGTTTGGTAGAATTTTGGGTGCGCTTTCAGCATGCCATTGATACTCAGCGTGACAATGAGTACAAACAACAGAATGCATCATTAACTTCAAATCCCATTATAAGAACAGAATTACCCTTGGAGCTCCATGCACGGGAGGTTTACACACACACCAATTTTTACTTGTTTCACGAAGAATTTTGGAATGGCTTATGCTACTCTGGTACCCAAGGGATGGAATCTGTTGAAGGTCAAACAATGACAGCCGTAAGAGATAATCGTGGTGCAAAAGGGAAGTTGTACAATGTCCACTATAGTGATCTGACTGAAGAAGCTGCCACATGCTCCTGCCATTTTTTTTATGTCACAAGGAATCCCTTGTAGGCATATTCTATCAGTTTTGAATGGGCAAGGGCTTAGAGAGCTGCCAAAGATTTATATTTTCGATAGATGGACAAAATATGCAAAAAAAAAGAGCTGTTGTTGAAGGCACAATGCATTTTGATGAAACATTTAACACAACGAAGCTAGAGAATCAAACTTTATCTAATATCTGGTGCAAGTTTTACAACTGCATGCTTCTGGCAGGGCGAGATTACGAGAAATTGAAAGTGATTTTAGAGAGTACAACTTCCCTTGAGCATATACTCACTGAAATGGGGCCAACAGTTGGAAATGATAAAAGGAAAGACTTGGAAACTTATTTTGGATGCAAAGTGCCTGATAGAGTTGAAATCCATCCTCCTACCATTGGAGTCACGAAGGGAAGGAAAAGGAGGATTAAGAGTGGTGTGGAGAAGGGTCGAGAAAAACAAAAGCACACTCGATGTTGTCGTTTATGCAACAAAATGACTACGCATGACAGCCGTAATTGTCCATTGAAAAACAACAGGTTACTTTTAAATGTTTCATTTTAGTTGTTTCATTTTAACTTACATTTAGATTTTAATAATCCCTCTTTTATAGCAAAAGCAAGAATGATGAAGAGTAACCAATATGCTCCTATGGTTTAGCATATACGCTGTTATTTAAGATCCTGAAAGACAGATTACCTTGACAGGTATCATGTGCAATCTAATTTGATTCCAAATATTTATCTTTATATATAAGTAAAGTAATTAGGGTATTCATGTAAAGATATGTCATATTTCAAAAGCTCAATGTTGTGTGTATCTTACTCTAAGAAACTTCTCATCTGTTACACTTATGGATATGATCATCATCAAAGTGTGTGTGTAGCAATAAGCTGACCAAATGGATTTTGACTTGACTAAACAGTTTTTGTACAACTATGTTGCTTATTATTTGGATTATTAATGTTGTTGCTTTGGTAATATGGGAGGCTGATTTGAGGTTTGTTGATATGAGATTTGTTGGTGTCTTTATTTCTTAAAGTTAACTATCACATTGACTATCACCTGATTTGAGGTTTGTTTCTTTTTTCAGTGACTATCACATGCTAACTTGGAAGCAAAACAGCAATAGGGAGGTCTATGAGCTACTGCTTAAAGAGTAGCAGAAGCCAAAAGAAATGTGGAGTTGAATGCTGATAAGTACATTTTGTGCTTATTATTTTACTCATATTTAAATGTTTTTGTGTGTAAATAAATTTAATTAAAATAAAAATATTCATTTTCTTTCATAAATATCTTGAAATTGTCATTTTATTTATAAAAAAGGTGTTCAAAACAAATTTGGAATTTTCAAACAGAAACTGGTTGAAACGGAGTAAAAACTTGAAAGGAAAGAAATTATTTGGGATATTTAAACTCAATTTCGTCCGTAACTCCAGAAGAGAAAAATGTTTGGCACAAAATATAGAACTGGCCACAGAAATTCGAAGCCCAAATTCCTAGGTTGGCCAGGCGACCTCTCGGGCGACCGCCCCGGACCTAGCCCCGAGATTCAAATGCAAGATAAGGCAAGTAACGAAACGTTTTGCAAAGATATTTAATATCGTCTACGGGGCAACCTGCTAGGCGAACGCCTCGGACCCAGCCCCGGGTTTCAAACGGAAGGTAATTGCAATTGTCAGCAACTTGCTAGGGAATATTCGAATATTCCTCCTAGGGCGACCTGCCAGGCGGCCACCCCACACCCTGTCCCGGAGATTCCTAAGCCTATAAAAGGCAGCGTCGATCAGCCTTCACCATCATCAACTCTTCTTCGTTTTTCCTCTGTGTAAAGCGTCGATCAACCTTCACCATCACCAAAATCTTTTTCGTCAAATGCTTTGAGAGGTTTTATTTTTTGGTTAATAGTTGAGATTTAGAAATCTTAAGACTTTATCGCAACATGTTTGCTCGTAGTGCCCATTGTGACATTATGGAGCATCTCATTTTTGGAAACCTATGTGTTCTTTTTTTAATTTATGATTGTCTAAGCATTGTAATCTATTCTCCGTTTTCCCCATCTAGGAACTATTCTTAATGATATTGGTATCTCAGAATCTTAGTTCTTTTGGGATTTCTGTTTTTTATTTAACAAAAATTAGCTCAACTTGTTTTTTACCAGAGACCCGTCTTTGAAATACTGAATTTTGAACAAAGGATGATTGAAGCCGAACGACATTGAACTTGAAATGTGCCGTAAAATAAGGATCAAACCCGGCGGAATCTCAACCTGACCAAATTGGTAATGAATGGTTTTTCAAAAACTAGCAACTTAAGAATATTAATATTGAGAATATTCTTTCTGTCTCGTATCTTTCTTCTCATTTTGACTTTTTTCGTCAATGCTTTTAAACGATGACTATATTTTTTCCCATTTTGACTTTTGGGGCCAACGTTTTAAACTTTTAGAATAAATTATGGAAAAAATATATTAGATTATGATAAAAGTTTAAGAGTAAAAAGAATGGACACCGGACACTTCTTATCCATTTCCTACCGCAAATGCGCCACAAAATTGCCTTCTTGTTAATAACCCAATACATGGGTATAAAAATTTGATGAGCTTTGTAGTAATGTTTGGTGAGCTTTCTCAATATATGTGGTGAGCTTAGTAGTTAAGTTTGGTGAGCTTTCTAGTTATGTTTGGTGAGCTTTCTCAATATATGTGGTGAGCTTTCATGTAAAAGCAAAGTCTTAGTGTAACATTATGTGGTGAGCTTAGTAGTTATGTTTGGTGAGCTTTCTAGTTATGTTTGGTGAGCTTTCTCAATATATGTGGTGAGCTTTCATGTAAAAAACAAAGTTTTAGTCTAACAATATTTGGTGAGCTTTATAGTTCTGATTGGTGAGCTTTCTCAATATATGTGGGGAGCTTTCATGTAAAAACAAAGTCTTAGTCTAATAATAATTAGTGAGCTTTCTCAATATGTTTGGTGAGCTTTGTAGTTATGTTTGGTGAGCTTTGTAGTTATGATTGGTGAGCTTTCTCAATATATGTGGTGAGCTTTCATGTAAAAAACAAAGTCTTAGTCTAAAATTATTTGGTGAGCTTTGTAGTTATGTTTGGTGAGCTTTCTCAATATATGCGGTGAGCTTTCATGTAAAAAACAAAGTCTTAGTCTAACACTATTTGGTGAGCTTTGTAGTAATGTTTGGTGAGCTTTGTAGTTAAGTTTGGTGAGCTTTGTAGTTATGTTTGGTGAGCTTTCTCAATATATGTGGTGAGCTTTCATGTAATGTTTGGTGAGCTTTCTCAATATATGTGGTGAGCTTTCTAGTTATGTTTGGTGAGCTTTCTCAATATATGCGGTGAGCTTTCATGTAAAAAACAAAGTCTTAGTCTAACACCATTTGGTGAGCTTTGTAGTAATGTTTGGTGAGCTTTGTAGTTAAGTTTGGTGAGCTTTCTCAATATATGTGGTGAGCTTAGTAGTTAACTTTGGTGAGCTTTCTCAATATATTTGGTGAGCTTTCTAGATATATGTTTGGTGAGCTTTTTCAATATATGCGGTGAGCTTTCATGTAAAAAACAAAGTCTTAGTCTAACACTATTTGGTCAGCTTTGTAGTAATGTTTGGTGAGCTTTGTAGTTAAGTTTGGTGAGCTTTGTAGTTATGTTTGGTGAGCTTTCTCATTAATGAATTACGTAGCTTATATTCCCCCTGTGACTAGGAGTACGTATTATGCTTATTTGTGAATCTATAAATAAGTGGTGAACTAATTCACTTCAAACTTAATTAACTACAAAAACCCTAAATCATTGATTAAATCCTCCGCACCACAGCTGCCGCCGTCCTGTGGAAAGCCACCGCCAAACCCTCAATGCTGCCGTCGTCCCAACCGCAAAACCGGTCCAGATTCTGATGGTGGACGCCGACAAGTTGGAGTGCATGTACGAGCTAACGGAGGAGTACAAACTCGCCAAGCGTTGCCACCACGAGAACCTTGTGGGCGTCCACATGTCATTTTGGTCGAAGACCAACAACCAGCTGTGGATCGTCATGCCTATGTGTCTAGGGTTTTGCTGAGGGCGATGATCATGTCGTCGCCATCTGCTTTGCCGGAATCCGGAGTCGGAACCCTCCTCCGGCAGACGCTTGAGGGCCTGGACTGCGTCCACGCCCTTAGAAATAGGCCCCACGGCAACGTCTGCGCTCGGTGCGTCTACATGGACGACGGGGACTTTGCGACAGCGAAACTAGGGTTTCGTGAGCTCATGTGCAAGAGGACGACGAAGCGAGCCACAGAGTGTTGGGTGGCGCCGGAGCTGGCGAGGGACCCGAAGATGGTGCATGGAAAGGCGGCAAACGTGTGGATGTTCGGTTTGTTTGCCTTGGAGCTCGTTTACGGCGGGGAGATCCCTGTTTCGATGCATGAAAATGTGAAAGCGCTTCTGTGGGACAACTTTAACGTTAAAACCCCCTCCTCGTCCTCGTCTCGGCCCTCGCTCTCTTGGAAATTATTTGGCAGGTTTAAGACGAAGACGAAGATCGTTGCACATTTTAGCAATTGCATATAAAGACAATGTAATAGTTGCAAGACCAAAGACAGAATTAATCGTAACCATTGATCAATGACCATTTAAGGCTGTTTAATCCCTCTTAATAAACATCAAATGAACTACAATGTAAAACTGGTTAATATTTGTCTTAAATGTGAAAATCAAACCAAAAGAGCAGTGACTAATACTTGTCTTAAAAATGAAAATCAGATAATAAGAATGGCGTTTCAGACACATCTTCCAAAATATAGAGTTAATAGAAGATCTGACAGAGAAAGTTTCATTTTTGGAATGAGGATATTACAAATGTTAACCTTATCCTATATCCACATAAATCATATCCTGTTTTCTCAACACCATAATAACCAAAAATCAGATTGTTAAATCTTAGTCAAATTAGACATTAGCCCAAAAATCAAACTGTCATTGTATGTGCCCAAGTGTGACACATATCCTAGTTGATACGCTTTCCATATTCTGCCACTTTCTTTTTTAGTTCTACTGCAACTTGATTATGATCAAAGGTGAGCATTTCATAGCAATATCGGACACAAAACATTCTTAATCCATTTACCTACCAAGAAATTTAAATTTCAATTAAAATAAGATAAAATGTGTGCTAATGTTATCTTATTTCACTTTATAAACAAAAAAGAAATAACACTTACATAGTTTTTGTTAAAATCCATCTTCCACGTATTCAAATTCCCCTTGAAAGTTTCCAATTGCCTCATGGCTATGACACCAACACCCATATCTTCCATGTTCCCATAACATGCCTTCTTTGTTATTTCAAAAGGAAATTTGGAAATTTTACTTGATTTTTGCTCAAGATTTTTTTCATTGAAATATTGGCACATTCCCTTTTTCTGCAAGTCAGTGAGACTATATTAGATTAAGTTGAAGAATAAACAATGAAGTTCAAGCTTAAGTTAGTATTACCACGCTTTAAAAAGGATCTTACCAAACATTCAACACATGTATCATACACCTTAGTTTTATCTTCAATCGAATCAAGGATGGTTATCTTCTCCTTTTTCATGTTAAAACACACTATATAAACATCATCCTTGTCTTTTTCATCAGCAACCAAGAAGAATACCTGCAGTAAAATAAGAACAGAAATGATATCAGAATAAATGAATACATTAGATACAAAACACTAAAAATAAACAATTCCATGTAGCTGACCAAATTTGCAGTACTCATATCAATGCCGCTATAAAACTATTGTTCTACAAATTCTCTGTCAACGACTTCACAAAAGTTTTCATGAGCATCGTCATATAAACTGATCTTTACAAACTCAGCCTACATGAATAATGTAAATTTTATGTCAGTGTCACATTTGAACTTCCATGCTAAATATCTCCACTTTTATACACAAAAGTACATGAATAATGTAAAGAGGTTACACACAAAAGGATTCGTGCTAAGGAAAATTCGATAGACATCTGACTTGCTTTCATGCTTTTCCTCGGCATTCAAGATTCGACACCAAATCTATAAAATAAGAGACGAGACACACCCTTCGGAAAAGGATATTAAATCGCTTCGCTTCATTTCACAAAACAAGTCTTTGTACAAAACTTCCCTGTAATTAAAATTATGGAAAATAGGATAAATAAATATCAAAACAATCTTAATAATAATAATTAAATTAAGTAACTTTTTTTACAAAACAATGTGAAAAGGTAACACTGACCCAAGTTCAAGAGATTTGTTGAATACATAGTCCGTGAGAACCTTCTCGGCACGGCTCAACCGTGAGAGTGCTTGCATGTTTCTTATATAAAAAGGAGAACATAAGGCGCGTGCAAATTCTTTCTTCCTTTGGGGCTGAAATCATCTTTTAATGAATACAGGACTTTGAACAGGGCTAGGACCGGATGCAATTTCTGGACTAGTAAAGTGAGTATATGGTGGGGTTGGCTGAAAAAGATAAGTTTCTTCCTGTTTCCCTTGAACTACACTCTCTAGGAAAGGTTCAATTTGGGGATGACTCTGTACATCATCTGCCAATGCAGTGAGATTGTATGTTTGGACTGCGCCATCTCCATTCTTTGTTTGAATCTCCTCATGCTGAATCCCCTCATGTTGAATCTCTTCATTTTGAATTTCCTTTTCCTCTAGTGTAAGCCCTAAGCTAAATGATGGCATAGAAAAGTCTTTGCTGTTGGTCTCAAGGTTGTGCTTCACCGAGAAAAATTCCATTTCAAGTTGAGATATTTCAGCCAAGAAAGAAGGGCTCTCGTGGACTACTTCGAATTGCAGTTTCGCATTTGTTTCCAAAATCGGAGTACCTGGTATTCTTGGACTTTTACCAACAGCAACAATCACTTCTGCAGCAGTTTGTTGCATTCTCTTGACGGCATTTGAATTTGGAAACTCACTATTCAAGCCTCTACACACAGTGTCCCACTTTGATATTTTTTGCACCAACTCTTTTGCAGCAGTCCGTGCCTCCTCTAAAATGTTGTTCTAAAACAGGTTTTTGAAAAAGAAAAAAGTGTGTCCAGTTACTTTGATATTCAATGCTTCAACTTCAAATTATCCACTCAAAGTCAAACCAAATAAATATGAAAAAGAAACAAGAGCATGATCACTTCATTCATCCAAGCAAGGAGTTAATTTAGGAGACTAAGAGGTTGATTAAATAATCATAGTGTGTTTGTGTAAAAATGGATTGGATGGCAGGTAGTGAACTTAAATGTGAAATGAAATTATAGAATAAAAAAGCAAAGCACTATTATTCAGTCACGTGTAACTTAAAAAAGCATAAACCTCCTAAAAATAAGTTGCACTAACCTGATTCCCACTCCAATCCTTCTCTTTCCTTAAGCTTCTCGGAAGTCCAACCTAGCATAGTTGGAAACGTTCTAGGCACTACTCTCATTCGGAAGACAACCCTATCAACATAAAACATCTAAAAAGATAAAAAATTAGTATAACACAAACGAATACATACCATTAAGAACAAAATAGGCCCAGTAAAATAAGGATTCGACTTTCGCTTCCATTGAATGGTAGAACTAATTAAACTTGTCAAGGTATACTTGCACCAGTTTAATTTATTCACGTTACTCAAATCGACTAAGGAGCGCAACACCCTTGAATTTGCAAATGTATTCGTGTTTTCGGATATGTAGGTAAAGATGAAGAACACCATAAAATTGAGTTTAAAGCCTTCACTTGACTCCGACATTCCTAAAATTCTATCGGGCATAGCATTGGTACGTGGAAAATCCCTCTGTAAACCCCACTCATCTCTCTACTTAAGGACCAAAGTCTTATAATCCTCAGGGTCTGTTGGCTTGTTTTGTGCTTCTAGCACATCAAATTGTCCGGTCAGGAGGCCAAGGGTTAGGTGGACATCCTTTTCTGTGATTCTAACCCGCTCATTTAAAAAATTAAGTGAACAGCTATCTGGGTCAAAGTTTTGAACAAGCCATTTTGAAGGCTTTACCGGTAGAACTAACGCCTCAAGACTAAAAAGGGAATGAAAACCCAACTCTCCAACAGCTTTTTTTGCTCACTATTTAACCTCTGCAAAAGGTTAAAAAGGCCGTTCAGAGACATACGAGTCTTATAATCTTTGTCATCAACTATACTTTCTAAAATAGTCGCAACATCTCGTTTTGGCCTATTAATGATTGCATCGGGAACAATGGTAGTGGGTGACTGTTCTAAACATAAAAGACGCAGACTTTTCCTAAGAACTATGGAAGTCGATGGAGCTACAGGTGTGCAAAGTTCAGCACTGTGCTCTTCCACAACAAAATCAGCTTGTTTCCTTAAAAAAACAAGAACACAAAAAACATAAGTTTAAAATTTTAGGTTAATAAATTTAAAGTGATGTCTATTTGAGAAAGATAAGAACCAACCTTTTTTTCCATGATTTTTTTTTCTACCTTCAACTTCCATGCTTTCAGAAGGTATTAAATTACCTAGAGAATAAGGTCACTCAATGAAAAGTCCAGAATACAAAATCACTCATATTTTCTCTAAGCCTAACAACACAAAAGCATAATATTAAAGTACTTGAGCAGTGAACATACTAATGTATATAAAAATTCAACCAAACTAGAGCTCAAATGAACAAAAATAGGGCTCAAATTGAAGAGAAATGTATTAGAAACAAAACTAAACAAAACCAACTAGTCAAAAAAAGAGATATTAAGAAGCATGAAAATCATGGACAGATAAATCTGAATTCAGAATAAATGTAACAGAATCACCACAAAAATTGCACAGATCAATAACATGAAAAATTCAGAGAAGATAAAGAGAACGGGGGGTGGGGGGGCAATACAACAGAGCTTTGGTGATACAATGCCCATCTCAGCAATGGCTTTTTGGATCCAACCGTGCAACTATACAGATAATATTCAAAGATGATACAGAAGTAGCTTCAGCAGGGGGGAGAAAAAAATTACCTTTCTTAGTGGCGCCACTAAACCTGGAGAAAAAGTCAGAAATGAAGACAATATGCTGCGAAGGAACTCACGATGGCGATTGGGAGCGATTAGGGTTTATTTGGGATCGAAGAAGAAAGATGAAGCCGATTGGGAAGGAAGTAAGAGAATTGGTGGCGATTGGGAGCGAAGAAAAGTGACGAAGAAGAAAGAAGAAGAAACAAGAAGAATGCTATGAAGTTTTGGAAAGAATACTGGCGAAGAACAAAGTCCGGTGTTGTGCGTGCCATCTGGTGGGAACCGTCATCTTACCAAAACTCGTCATCTGACCGGAGTTAATCCATATATATATATATATATATATATATATATATATATATATATATATATGAGATATATATGATCCGATGGGAGGAGAGAGAGAGAGGATTTTCCGACGAAGACCACCAGCAAGCCACTGAAATTGTTCTCAGATCTCTTCAAAACTAAGGCCACACAACAGTTGGGCAAGGTCTCGCTGTCCAAACATGGAGACCCGGTGATTGAGCTTAACAATGAGGACATCTCCAAATTAAGAGAGATTTTCCCTCATGCTATCAAAGCCAGTTTCAATGGAGCACTCTCTCCGGAAGACATCGGGTTATCACTGAAGAAGGGAGGGTTCAAAGGAGGTTTTCGCATCACCGCCATCAGCAAATCTCAGGTTATCATCAATCTCAATTTGCGTAGTGAATTCATTCGCTTACTATCCAGAAATTCCTGGAAAACGAATGGCTGCACACTCAATCTCTCCAAATGGGATCCAAGTATAGATGGAAGGAATGACAGCCCCATATCGCTGGTTTGGGTTACATTCAAAAGGCTTCCTTTTTTCCTTTCTGACCATAGCACCCTATTCTCCATAGCCAGTGCACTTGGAACCCCAATCCAGATGGATGATACCACAGCTCGTGGTGGGTACTTCCAGATGGCTAGGATCCTTTTGGAGTTGGATGTTTCTAAACCCAAACGTTCTTCTATCCTGATTCGAACAAGCACTTGGGAAAGAACGGTGGAGCTTCTGTATGAGCTCCCCTTATACTGCAATTGCTGTAAGCGGAAGGGTCACTTCTGCAAACCAATCTCAAAGCCCGCCAGAAAAGTCCTCGCCGGCGGGACATCCAATGAGAGGCTTCAGTCCACTAAGAGCCATCCAAAATCCAATCAGGATTGGATCAGGGTTCAGAGTAAGAAGGAAAGAACAAGTCACAAAAGGACAACCAACAAAGAGCCAACATGGGTGGCCACTTGCTCCATATTGCCAAACACGGAGGACAGCCAACCTACTACACTTCCATATACTACTATCCCCACTTCTTTGAAACCCTTGGTATCTAGCAGATCAAGGTTCCCAAGTCCATGTGAGGCACCTAGCTCAAATTGTTTGGTTGGGGACATGCACTTCGTACAAGATGCAGCCCCCTTGTCCAAGCATCCATGTCCCCCCTCCACTATGGTCAAGGTGGCAATGGCTTCCAACGAACACACATCCACCATTGATTCATTAGCTCTCTTATCTACTGTGGTTGAGAACAACAGCCCGGGCACTCCGGTGTGTATTCACTCAGATGGGGAAGGGGAAAGGCTTCTGAATAAAAGCCCCATAGCTGCTCTTGAGGGAAAATTCACGCAATTCAAAGAGAATGCTTTATCCTTCATGAAGGGTAGAGGAAAAAAACCCCTATGGCTCCTCTTAGCATGACTCTGAGGAGCAAAGCTAGAACTCTTCACTCCTCCTATTAATGATCTTGATCTTTTGGAATATTCGAGGTGTTCATAAGTCCTCCCCAAGAATCCAAACTCTATGTGCAGCTCATAAACCCTCCTTTTTAGCTTTTATGGAACCACTTCTTGATGATCCTCATCTAGACACCTTCAAAAGGCAGTTTGGAATGACTAAGGCATCCTCTCATCTTAATAAGCAGCTCTAGATCATGTGGAAAGAGCCTACTCTCACTCTGTTACAGGTAGTTGAACATCCTCAAGTTGTCCACTGCCAGTTTTCATCGTCAGAAACACAGGGATCACTTTGGATCTCCTCTGTTTATGGAAGACACACCGGGGCAGACCGGGCACCTCTTTGGTCTTCCATATCATCTTGGCATACTGGATCAGATCCTTGGATTGTTGGAGGGGACTTCAACTGCATTCACAGCGTGGATGAACAAAAGGGCAATTCTGAACCTTGCTACAGGTCTATTGATGAATTCAAGGAATGTGCAGAATCCTCCAACCTTCTTTATATCCATCCTTTAGGGGGGCACTATTCATGGAGCGGGAAAAGAAGCAATGGGAAAGTATGGAGACGTCTTGATCATATCCTTGGTAACCAATCTATGATTGATTGTAACACTCTAATCCGTCCAGGTCTGCAGCCCCATTCGGACTAAAGTATTTAACTTGGTAATCGTAAAATTTAAAACTTTTCAAACACACTTTATTAATCCCAATAATATTTTTCATAACATATACAGTACGGAGTATTTAACAATATTGCGGAAGCAAATCTAATATTGACATATCATAAATTATTTCAAAACTTGTCACATCCATCCTGACAATCTCGCCCCATCTGCCGCCAGGATCACATTAATCTTTCTGTTTACCTGCGTGTAGCAAATAAAACACACTACACGCTCAGCGGTGAAGCTGAGTAAGCATATCTAAAACGTCAAACATCCACATAAATTGAATCTCAATTCATAATCAACCATTTGATATCATGCACACAATATATGGTTCAAACATTCAAAATATTTTGAATATTTTATTCCAAGTCATTTGATATTCAATATATATCAATAATGCTCTTAAATTATTCTTAATATATATCAATATATTTTCAATTATTCTTATTCTTAGCTATTCCTAGTCAAAGGCAGTAATTCTAACCAGGCCCTTAAACTATAAATAGTTTAATGCAGAACACAAGAATCGATAATCCACCCTATGAGTCATGTGGATTACGTACCAACCGAACAATGATTTGTCGGGTGGGTGATATCCGATCTGGATCCCGTACGTACATTTTAACCCGAAATATGAATTGGTCAAGTAGGTATATCTTAGAGTTCTTCTACATATCCTTAATAATCATCATCAATATACAAGTGGGTAAATCTTAGAGTTATTCTAGATATCCTTAACAATACGATTCATTAATTCATTATTTTCACTTTAACAACTCATGATCATCATTCAAAACGTTCATCATCATTAATTCATTATAATCAATAATCAAACAATCTTCATAATGCATAATAACAAATAGCGGCCTAGTCTCGAGTGTTAACACCCGAACTTACCGTCATGCATCACATAATGTTTATATGTCACAAACATCATTTTTATTGTACAAAATCATATTTATATTGTGCATAATTAATTGGTATCAAAAATAGGATTTTAGAGTATATTTTTAGGAACATTTTCATCTGGAATTGAGGAAAATAATTTAAAATAATCAATTAATTTATAAAAATTGATTTATATAATTTTATATAATCCATTAATTCATAATAATCAATTTTTACAATTTAAATAATCAATTAATTCATTATAATCGATTTTTACAATTTAAATAATCAATAAATTCATTATAATCGATTTTTCCACTATAAATAATCGATTAATTCATAATAATCGATTTTTACAATATAAATAATCGATTAAATGGTACTGACTTCGAACCACTGATCTGAATAAAATTCTAATCGATTTTTAGTAAGTAAATAATCGATTTTCGGCCACTGTTCATCGTCTTCTACCTTCGGTCCATTTTCGGACATATCAATTTTAGTTACCAAACTTCAATTAAACTATATAGAAATGTTCTCTAAGGTTCATAGATCATTTTAGAATCATTAAAACATATTTTTAACATCAAATTCAAGGTTTATGATTCTTGGTTCTTCAAACATGTCAAACACAAAACTCAACCAAATGACCATTTATGAACGTAAAAACAACCTATATGAACATTCTAATCTTTAGATATATCTACGGGCTTACCTTGAAGCGTAAGGGAGGTTTTGACGATTTTCCGGCGAACCTTCCGGCGACTCTATCTCACTGCTCCGGCGACCTCACACAAAGATGACAGCACCACTGCACTCTACTCTCAGCAAGGGACAATATAGAAGGAAGAATGAGTTGTTTTGGTGATGAAATGAGGGAGTTGGGTTGTCCTTAAATAGCCAAGTGAGGAAGGAAGAAGACATGGGTTGCAGCTTCCGTGATTGAGCGACGATTTGGAATTGGCGTAATTGAACAGGGCGCCGTTTGGTGTGTAGTCCCTGATTGGGACTAATTTTGGTCCGAGTTGGGGTACACTTTTTGTTCCAACTTTCTCCAAATTGAAATCCGATTGAACCGTTGGGGTCAGACAGTCAAACTCTACATAATGATATGATTTTCATTATTTATTGACAAACTTTGGAATTTACTTATTTTTGGGTCCTTCTCAGTAATTAATTAATTATAAATTAATTAACTATGATAGGCCTATTTTTGGGGAATTACATTGATACTTTTACTTCAACCAATTTGACAATGCTTAGCAAGGGAGCCTCTGACCATAGGCCTCTTTTACTAAACTGTATTTTGGATAATTTCCTGGGCCCTAAACCCTTTCGTTTCCTCAACATGTGGTGCTCCCACCACACCCTTGAAAGTACCATTGCCTTGTTTTGGGAATGCAATAAGACATACAATGGCATGAAGGGGCTGTCTGCTAAACTTAAGGAACTGAGGAAAACTCTACACACTTGGAATAAGGATATTTTTGGGAATGTATTCCAAAACCTTAAGGAAGCAGAATACAAAGCAAATTCTGCCCAGGACAAATTTGAGCAAAACAGCAACCCAGAAAATTTGGTGGAATTCAACAAAGCCAATGCTGAGCTACTCCTCCAATCCAAAAGGGAAATAGAATTCTGGAAACAGAAGGCGGGACTCAAATGGATTAAAGAGGGTGATGCTAACACCAAATTTTTCCATAATGTGGTTAAAAACAGGCGCAATAAACTCAGGATCTCTAGCATCAAAGATGATGAAGGCAGGAGCATTGAGAACATCAACAGCATTGCCAACCATGCTATATCCTACTTCACCAAAATTTATACACCGGAGCCCATCTCCATTGAGGACGAAATCTTCTCCTACATCCCCATCACAATCACCAATGAGGATAATCATATGCTTTGTGCAGTACCACAGGAGGATGAGGTCAAAACAGCCATTTGGGAACTCAATGCAAACAGCGCCCTAGGCCCAGATGGATACAACGGTTTCTTCTTCAGGACCTACTGCATATCATACACACGGAAGTTGTTCGCGCCTCCCAAGAATTCTTTTTGGGTCTCCCTATTCCAAAGTCATATGGTGCTACTCTACTTACCCTCATTCCAAAAGTTGAGGACCCCAAGTCGATGAATGACTTTAGGCCCATCTCCCTGTCAACCTTTCTCTCTAAGATTAATACAAAAATCTTAGCCAATAGATTGGGCAGACTTCTGCCTAAAATTATTAGCCCAGAACAAAGTGGTTTTCAGCCTGNAAAAGGTATTGAGGACAACATACTTCTTACTCAAGAGATGATACATTGCCTTCATAACACCACTACCAATGCCAATGTTGCTCTTAAGGTTGATTTTGCAAAGGCGTTTGACAGGATATCTTGGGAGTTTCTTGAGATCACTCTCACATCCTTTGGCTTCAGCCCCCAATCTTGCCAGCTCCTGCTATCAACACTTAAAGACACTGATTTTTCTATACTCATCAATGGAATTCCACATGGCTTTTTTAAAATGGGTAGGGGGGCCAAGCAAGGGGACCCGCTCTCTCCACTCCTTTTCATTATTGGCAATGAAGTGCTGAGTAGGCTAATTAAGGGCAAAATGGAAGAGGGTTACATCAAAAATACGAACACGGGTAGAGCTAAACCTCCATCACATCTCGCCTATGCAGACGATGTAATATTCTTTTTTAATGGGCATTCCAGATACTTGATCAGACTCAAAGGGCTGCTGGAGATTTTCCTCAAAGCATCTGGTCACCTCATAAATCTCAACAAAAGCTTCTTTTACACAAACCCAAAGGTTAGGCCGGCCATCAGACAAAATATGCATAAAGCATTGCAAATGAGGGAAGGGAAACTGCCTTTCCAATACCTAGGAGCAACTATTGGTAAAGGGAAACTTAAAAAAGAGGACTGTAAGAGAATTGTCCAACATTTTGAGGGATACCTTAACACTTGGCACAGCAAGGTCCTCAACCAAATGGGCAGGTTAATCCTCATCAAGCACGTTCTAAGCTCTATCCCATTACACATTCTAGCGGTCCAACAGATGCCCAAATCCATTCACAACACCCTCAACAAGATGATGCAGAATTTTCTTTAGGGACACAAAGATGGAAAACCCAAATATCACTGGAAGTCCTGGAGAAATGTTTGCTTCCCCACATGCGAAGGACTTGGGATTAGGCATTTGGAGGATATTGAAGCTGCTTATTCGTCAAAAATCGAGTGGAAGATCAGAAATTCAGAAGGGATATGGGGAAAATATATGAGAAGCAAATACCGGCCAGATTCATTTCATGAATACCACACGGACACTGTCACCTGGAAAAGAGCAGCCCGTATACACAACTGGGCTCTTGAGCATGTTCATACCATCTCTGGGACAGAAATGTGGGAGGAGAATCCATTCTCCTTCAAGCTTGCTTATAACTCTTGGAGGGAAGCTAAGCCCTCCTCTCTCTTGTGCAAAATGGCCTGGTCAAAACTTCAAATCCCTAAAATCAGACTGTTCCTATGGAAAGCTCTTCACAATCTCCTGCCTTTCCCAGACAACCTAGCCAGATTCAGCATTGCCATTCCCTCTAGATGTAACTTCTGCCACAATGGTCCCCAAAACTTGAACCACACTCTTTACCAGTGCAGGCTCTCACAAAAGATTTGGAGGTTTTTTTTCACCCTATTTGACGGGCCTGTCATTCAAAGGGGGGACACCATCCACGACGTATGCATGAACTGGTTGCTTGGTACGTGCAGAATAAAACTTATGGACAAAATCCACTATATACTCCCAGGGATGATTGCATGGGGACTATGGAAAGCTTATAATGCTGAAATCTACGGACGGAAGGCCTTCAACGAACGCTCCATCATCACCTCAACAATGAAGACTATACAAGAGTGGATTTGGACTCACAAAGACAAAAAATGGATGATCCTTGATGACAATCTCAAATCTTTGGGTCTTCGTTCCAACCTACGCAAGCCTTCTACCTTGTTTATGTAATACATTTTGTTGTTCTTTTTCGGTGGGCAGAACCCTTCTCCCACATTGCTGTAATTGCTTCTTTTATCCATTATGCAATAAAATTTTATTATTTAATATATATATATATATATATATATATATATATATATATACACATATATATATATATAGAAAAGAAAATTTTATTTAATTCGAATAAAAGAAGTTGATACATCACATTTGATAGCTCCCCTACCTTTAGTCGAAATATTATCAAAAGAAATATAAAGCAAAAAGACATTGTTTTGAATTGCATGTTGGGCCAAGTGATGGGCTGCTATGTTTGCCTCTCTGAAGATGTGATTAACTCTCCCTCCGGATCTATTGATGTGTTCTCTGCTCAGCCTTCTATGAAAGTCATTATTTGTCTGATCCTTAATTCTCTTTTAACACAATTGCTGGAGTCACTGTAGAGGTTTATTGGTGTGTCCAGGTAAAGACTTCTTCGAACTCCACCGTATGAGCTTCTAGTTCTCCTTCCTCTGCGGATGATCTATTTTGGAGTTCAAAAGTCCATGCCTTCAGAAATTCTCCCTGTCTTGTTCTTAAGATGGCCGCTCCTGCCCCTCTACCCTCTTGAAGTGCAGTGTCCGTTGTGAGAATTACTCCTCATGCTAGGAATTGCCATTTGTGAATGGAGATTGCGCTGATCTTCACCGAAGGTATGTTGTGGTTGATTCTGATGCCTTCTATTTTCTGACTCGATTAATTGATGACCATCCATTCATATGTTTTTTAAGAATGGTGTTGATGATTTGTGAGACATTGCGTTCCTCATCTTCGAAGACCCTTATATTCCTTTCTTTCCAAATTTCATGAGTAATTAGGCGTGGTATGCTGTTGATCAAAGATTTGTTTTCTCTTTGTTTTTGTCCTTGCTTCTACCAGTTGGTTAAGTAAATCAAAAAGCCATAATTGATGCCTCTGCCTATGTTGAAAATTTCCTCAAAGTATGCCCAAATTTTCTTACTAAAAGGGCAATTCTGGAACACATGTGTGTTGCTTTCCTCATTGCTCCTGCATAAAAAACAAATAGAGGGACTATGAAATCTCATTCTAGTTAGTGCCTGGGGAGGGGGGAGATGGCCAAAGCATAGTTTCCATAGGAACACTGAGTGTTTAGGGATTTGCTTAGGAGTCCATTTTGAGTCTATAAGCTTCTTGAATAGTGGTAAGATCAGTCAGACCTAAACCACCTTCCTCTTTGGGGTAGCAAAGTTTCTCCCAAATAGCCCAGTGATATTTATTTCTGCCATTAGCTTTACCACAAAGAAAATTACTCATCTTTGTATGGAGACTCTTGATAATGCTCTTTGGAAGTTTTCTGCAATCCAACAAGTGTAAAGGGATTGAATTTAGCACATGTTTAATGAGAACAAGTCTTCGATTCATGCTCAATAGTTTTTTGTACCATCCCTGAAGTTTGCTGTCAAAGAGTTTGAGGAGGTCTGTGTAGAATTTTTGTCTGTTTATTCCTTGGTAAATCTGCACACCTAGGTATTTAAAAGGTAGGGAACCTTTGTTCATTCCCAGGATTGGCTCTGTTCTCTTTAAATTTTGATAGCTAGGTTGCCTCCTCTGGTAGGGTACTCTAACCCATGGATAAGTTCCTGGGTAATGAGGATCTGATCATGAATTACCCTTTCCTTTACAAACCCTCCTTGTTCTGGGGAGATTATGTGTGGTAGTAAGGAGCTCAGCCTTTGGGAAAGAATTTTGGAGAGGATCTTGAAATTGAAATTAGATAGGTAAATAAACGTATAGTCCTCCCAAGTGATGGGGTTTTTCTTTTTTGGGAATGAGGATAATATTAGAGTGGGAAATGCATTTAGAAATTGGGATTCCTAAGAAGAATTCTTGAACTGCTTTTGTGCAGCCTTCCTTTATCTCCTCCCAATTATGCTTGTAGAATTCCCCATTGAATCCATCTAGGCCTGCTGAGCTGTCTGTTGAAAGAGACCAGATTACATCTTTAACCTCTTGTTACCCTGGTAGTGTGGTCAGCTTATCATTATCCTCAGACTGCAGTAAGTTATGGATATTGTTAAGGAATTTGTTTCCATCCTCTAATTCCCTCTCCTAGAAGAGATTTTGGAAACATTGAAGGAACTCTTCCTAGATATCCCTTTGTTGATGTAACCAGGTTCCTTGAGTGTTCTTAATTCTGGAAATCTTCTGAGGTCTTCTCCTTTCCTTGGTAATTGCATGAAAGGAGGCTGTATTAGAGTCTTTTGTTCATTTAATATTTGCTTTCTGCTTCCACTATGAGAACTCATGTTGTGTTGCTTCCTACACCTCTCATACCACCTCTTGTGTTTCTGCCCCAGCTAGAAACAATAACATTTTTGAATGTATTGTGAGTATTCCAACAGTTGATGAATGTGAAGGGCATAGGACCATTGTAGATTGAGCTACTGATTTGCACTAGGATTGGAGAATGGTCTGAGTCTCCTCTAGACAGGTGTCTGCACTTGATGTCTTGAAAAGAGTTTAAGAAATGGAAATTGTGAAAGACTCTATCCAATATTCTCCAAACCCTACCCTTGGATCTGACCCCAGTCTAAGTGAAAGGGCTTTCAATGGTTGGAGGGGAAATAAGTGTTGTATCCATGAGACACTTGTCAAACTCTTGGATGCTTTGGAGGCAGGGAGAGCTTTTACCCTTATGGTGATCCACTGTAGAGATGCAGTTGAAGTCTCCCCCTAGTATCTAAGGGTTTTGAAGGTTGAGACTAGTTGTGTGTATGTTGTTCCAGGATTCTCCAGTCAGCAAGAGTGTATTTTCCATAGACAATGGAGATGGTTATGGGGTTATTATTATGCAAGAATTTAATGTTAATGACTTGGTCCACTTCTTGGTGAGAGGTATAATGTAGGGTTTCATCTTTCCATATAATCTAAGCTGTGTTGTCTGCCATGGCAAGGGAATGAGTGAAACTAAGTGCAAGCTAGTAGTGTGTGATTTTCTTCTGATGGGATTTAGGTTCCAAAATAGCAATAAGCAAAATCTTGTGGGTGGAAGTGAGAATAGCTACCCTCTGGAGTTTGGAGGGCAGCCCACAGACGTTCCAGTAGAGAAGATTCATTGGGTAACATGCATGGTTTGACGGTTTGAGATTTCTTTTCCTAAATTCTTTTTTATTTTCTTTGAACAGTGGTGAATGAAGCATCCACCTTCTTCTCATTTTTCTGTTCTTGACTTGTATTTAATTGTTGTGTTATTTCCAGGTAAATGCAAGGTGATTCAGCTGTGGGAAAAGGGATTATGTCTGGGGTTTTGTGGTATTTCAGAATCAGATAGGTAAGTTGGGTTTTAGCTGGGGGTTTTTGCTTGCAGGTGGAGCTCATCCAAGGACCAATGTTTGGTATGAGGTATGGGAGAGGACTTAGGTGTTGATCGACTTCACGTTCATACCGCTTTACAGGAGAAGGTATAAGTTTCTATCTCTAGCTATTGTTTTAGTAACTAATCTTCGACTAGTAATCACTATTGGGAGCTTAAATTTTTGTATTTCTGCTGCCCTCCCAACCGTGGTTACCTTTCACATACCACTGTGTACTACAAGAATAGCACATATATATTTAATATAAGATAATAGCCATTATGCATTCATATGTTGCACAAGAAAGTAGTACATAGACAATAGTTATATAAAATCTAAAATCAAAAGAAGAATGTTACACATAGTAAGTTTAAATATACACACCATTATAAGTCAATCATAACATAAAAAAGTTTTACAAAAGCTATGTATGAGTAATGTAATCCTCCCACATAGCCTTTGCAATAGAATCACATAATTCTTCTGCCATCCCTATGTTCTCGTTCCCATTACAGGCGTGAGGTATGTTATGCATACGTGTTTCAGACTCACTTTCCTCAATGTTGTCATCTTCGTATTCATCTATGACTTCGTTCTACCTCGTCCGGATCCCCACGTAACAAATAGTTGTGTAAAATTGAGCAAGCCACAATTATTTTCTTTTGCGTCTTTATTTAAAAATTCGGCTCATCAGCACTTTTCATAATTGGGAAACGTTTCTTAATCACACCAAATGCCCTCACCACCACATTTCGTAGTGACGCATGACACAAGTTAAATAGTTCTCTCTTATTTGTTGGTGGGTTAACGTCGTATTCTCTTAAGTGATACCTTACCCCTCTAAAAGGTGTGATAACACCTTGAGATAAAGGGAACCAGGCATAACCTAAATAAAACTTACCTATACAAAAAGAGAAAAAAATATGTTATCTTAAAATACTTTCATACTTATTATAGTAAAAAATCAATACTTACCTTGTGGAATTTTTAAAGGGTATGCACGGTGCAATGCATCTCTCAACATTCTAGCATCAGATAACGTCCCCTCCCAACCCGGTTTTATGTACGCAAAGCTTAGATTAAATGTGCAAGCACCTAGAACATTTTGAGTTGGAAAGTCTTTTCTACCACGAAATCTAGGTGCATCGGCCACGAGCACTTTTAGTTGCACATGAGTTCCATCAATTGCTCCCACACAATCCTATGGACATAATAACTTTAGATGTAGCTTGCAAATTTTAAAAGAGTGTGTGAATTTGTATTTATCTAATGTCACCTTGAAATAAGGGAAAACCTTGGACTTGTTAAATATCTCAGAAGGTATATATCCGTGTGCCATCTGGTTGTGTTAGAAACAATGCTTCTAACTTAATTACAACATTCAGAACATTGTGAAAATGTCTCCATATAACCTCTCCTGAACGAACAAACAATCACTGCACTTGCCTATTAGTGACACGGTGGCCAATTTTGTACAAGAAAAGAGCAACTTGTTCTTCAATACTTATCCACTTCTTTGCTTTTAATCCGCCATGACGCAATAATAGACCACATAAGTTCAAAAACGCATTCGGCCCCATTCGTATCATATCTCGACATACAAGTCTATTCGTCAACACCTCTCGCATACATTTTTTAAATCTTTTGATTTTAAGGAAATTGATTCATCCACAATTCTCGCTCGATCTCTTCTAGTGCATAAATACCATACTTGTAGTAATATGGATACCGAAAACAAAGTTGTCATGTCATTTAAGTAGAGATAATCAAGCATATCATCATCCATTGATGCCATAAACTAGGACCTAAAAATTTAGCATAATTCACGTTAATGTGTAAGAACTCAAATCACTAGCACCTACAAGTCCAGATAATTGCAAAAAAAAAACAGAGTACAATTACAAAACTGTAGAAAACGAAGTACAATAACAAAACTACAAAAACAGAGTACTCAAAAATGCACAATTGTAGAAAAAAATAGAAAAAATTACCAGAAAAAAGCACAAAAAAATAGAAAAAAACCACAAAAAGAGTGAAATGAAAATTGAAAAAAGGGACACAAAAAAAACGAAAATTGAAAAAAAAAGAACGAAAGCTTGAACTAGAAATTGAGCATAAACTGAAAATTGAAAGCAAAACTGAAGGAAGCAAAAGAAGTGAAGTAAAATTGAAAAAGTGAAGCAAAATTGAAGGAAGCATGGTATTATGCAGAAGGAAATATGGGCAACGCAAAGCAGAACGAAAAAAATTGAAAATTGAAGTGAAAAAATTGGAGTACGTGTCTTGTTGGAGATGGCGATCAGAAGAGGACGATGGCGATTGATTTTCTATCAGGTACGACGAGTGAAGGATATATATCAACGGAAAATAGAGTTTATTACCTTATATTTCGCCAACTTGGTGGTCATCTAAAATCTACGGTTAAGAGGTAACCCTACCTCTCTCTACCTCCCCTATTTCTCTTGACCCATCTCAATTTTTGTTACCAAACAAGGTAGAATATTAAATCTATCTCCCTCTACCTTCAAACAAACAGGGAAATACTTGGTTTGCAAACAAAACTATCACAAATTTCATAAATTACGGAGTATATTTGAACTTAATTAAAAAAATGAAGTAGGCTAAAATAATTTTAAAATAAAAATTTAAATATGAGATTCCCATTTCCATTCGAGTTCGAGATTTGATCGCTTTTCATACAGTAGATATTCAAAACATACTGAGCATTTAGCCAGCCCTTGAGGGAGAGGATCAGATATGGCTTCAATTCCTTTCAATTCCACTTCCCTGGACAGCGCATCGCCGCCGCTATTGCGGCCACTCCGGGAGAATAACCGCAGGAGCCGCTCGCAGTCACTGGCTGCTCTGATGGGCCGGGTAACTGGACGGCGCGGTGCTTCGATGCTGGTGCGCCAGACGGCCGCGCGGGAGCTGGAGGAGCGCCGGGCCGATTGGGGGTACTCCAAGCCAGTGGTGGCTCTGGACATGATGTGGAATCTTGCTTTCGTGTTCGTCTCGGCTGTTATGCTGGGTTGTACGCTGGATGAGAGCCCTAACGTGCCTATCAGGGTTTGGGTTTGCGGTTATGCGTTGCAGTGTCTGGTTCATGTGGTGCTGGTTTGGTTCGAGTACAGCCGGAGGAACTCACCTATTGACCGTAGCAGAGAAGATGGAGCTTCAATGGCAGACGGAAGTGAGGAAGATGATGAGGAAGAAATGATTGCTGGTTTGGCTATTAGCAGCAGGTCCAGGTGAGTTTCAATTTGTTGATTTAATTGATTCATCGATTCTTTTCGTTCATTTAGTAGCTTCACTTTCTGTACTTTTGTCGCTGGTTACATGCTTGGCAATTTATCCCAAAGTTGATATAGGGCATTGAGTTGATGAAATTGTGTTCTGAAATTTACCAAGCTTGAAAAGTTTTATGCTTTACTGCATGTTGGGTATTTGCAAGTTGTAGTTGAGTCTTGCTTGAATATTGACGAGTTAAGTAAACTACTCCCTCTGTCCCAAAATGTTAGAGTTATTATTCACAAGTCAAACCATATTTTTTTAAACTTATTTTTATCTACCATTTGTTAAAATAACATAGTTAAGCCATCTCTACAGCCTCTCTACTTTCAAGTAGGGGTAAAAGGTCTGCTTATACGCACTCCCCAAGACCTTACTCTTGTGGGACCAATTGGGTTGTTATTGTTATTGTTGTAGTCAAATCCCTCTAGTTTTGTAGAATTTCTTATAGTTTTAAATACTACATATATAAGTTTTTTAAATTGTACTCCAATATTTAAATAAAATGAATTGTAAATAACTTAACTCAAGCATCATAAAATGTGAGTCAACTTCATTTCAGGACAAAGGGAATAAAATTTAACTTCATTTTGGTTGAGCAGCATTTTAATGCATGTGTTGTATGTGCATCGGGTACCTCCTTCCCTATCCAATTGACCTATACATTATTTAAGGTTTTGAGCTGGACTAGACAAAAAGTGATTAGAGGACGATTAGAGAGAAGAAAATAGAAGAGCGTAAAGAGATGCTACGCTTGGTTCAATTGAGTGCAGATGAGTTATTGTTTCTGAAAAAAATGTTTTTTTGATATAGTAATTTTTTGGTAATAAAAAATCTAGTAGTCCATATGTACTCCCTTCGCTCTTATTTACAAAGCGTTGTGGTGTGGCTCTAAATATTTCCATCATCGTTGATTGAGCCAAAGGTTCACTATTTTTTTGCTTTGGGGTTTGATGGAATAAAACTAAATGGCTCTTTAAGCTGTCTGAGCTTCTTTTAATAGGCAAGTAGCATTTAGTAATTGTAATTTTTGATGCTGATCATGGATTATCTAGCCAACAGCTGCTCTGTGTTTTAAATTTAGGGGTCAGGCTGCAACCTGTAGTGCTTGAGCTGGGGTCTTTTCGGAAACAGCCTCTCTATTTTCGAGTAGGGGTAAAGTGTGCAGACATCTACCCTCCCCAAACTCTACTTTTGTGGGATTCAACTGGGTTGTTTTTTTATTTTCATTGCACATTTAATTTTTTTTTGTGTTTTTCGAAAACATATTCCCTGTAAAAATATTTAAGTACATATTAGGTTATTTATCATCGGCTAGGTTCTAGAGCCACTCAAAAAGAGTGCCTACGGAAGCCACTCACCTAATTGGGACATCTACGGTGCTCTGTTCGCAAAATTGATAGTTCCTACCCCCTCTAACCCCCCGGTAAACCCCCCTACCCGGTCCGATCCCAACTCATCCCCCTAACTACGTCAATTGCGGGGTGCAAGTTTAGATGACTTTGGAGTCAAAATTTTTGACTTTAAAGTCAATTATACTTACGGGGTGCAATTGACGTAGGTGGGGGGATGATTTGGGGTCGGGACTTGGCGGAGGGCTTTATCGGGGGGTTACGGGGGTAGAAATCATCAATAATTTTATGAACATAGCTCCGTAGGGGGGCAGTGGCTTCCGTGGCCACTGAAATCCAGTGGTCCCGGGCCGATTTATCATTATAATGCCTTTAGTCATTTACTTCCTCCTGACCAAGTTCGTTAAGCTCTTTCTTCTCGATTGTCTTCAAACTGAACTACACACATGCTCCTCGTCAGCTAGTTACATGCTACTCAGTAGACCAGTGAACTATTGAGGCCATATGGGTCGAACCATTGTTTGAAATGCTATTTTTGCACCCGTCTGAAATTTGATGATCTATTTCTTGTCTAATGTGGTAAATTGAATTCTTGTTCTGTTGCAATATCAACAGAACAAGGATTTTCTATTTATAGGTATGAGTTGGAAATCCTGAACTAAAGATGAGATGATAAATATACATTTTGCATTATAAATTACATCTAGCTATCAGCTAATACAGAAATGCATTGTATGTTTCATGAGTCAGTTTGTTAATGAAGATGAATAGATGTGTTTCTCATTCCTTATTTGAATTATGATGTAAACTTGGAAACCATTGCTATTCTCTATCCTGTTTTATGAATTTTTCATTTCTTTTCTTTTCAAAAGCTTCGTAATTTGCATTATGTCATTGACATTTCAGTGTTGCTAAGCGTTGGGAGTCTGTGAATACCATGGCTTCATTTGGGTGGTGGATGATTGGCTTTTACTGGGTAATCTCAGGTGGTGAAATGCTTTTGCGCAATGCTCCACGACTGTACTGGTATTTAACGAGTTAATTTTTTATTCCAGCAAAATAACATTTGCCTCTTGAGTTTTGCGTAATCTTATTTGACAAAATATATATTCATATGAAAGATCACTGTTTTTTTTTATTTTTTAAAATCTTGATTATATGTGTGTGTCTATATATATGTGTGTGTGTGTGTGTGTGTGTGTGTGTGTGTGTGTCTATATATATATTGGAAGAGGAAATTATATTAAAGGAGGGGAGACAACAAAGATTACAACAGGTTGAGGCATCTAGGACCTCACTTGGTGCCTAGATCCAATAGAAGTGTGATATATCTGGGCTCAGCCTCATCATGGTTCGCCCTATACCCTACACTCCCGGGGGAAGCCGAGGACCTATGTTTAAGCTATATGATCCATTTTGAAGGCCCTTAAACCCATGATCCTCCTCAATCCCTACAATCCAGAAACAACACCAAACCTTAACCATTCTCCCCCTTCTCCTTTTCATCTTGGCCGAACCCATCTTCCCCAAAACCCTACCTCATTCAGCCCTCAAGACCATGTTAAAACACACCCAACAAAACCCCCTTCATAACCCTTAAGTTGGTCGAAAACAAGAAGCCAAAACAAACCCATTTACCCCTTAAAACATCCACCCAACAAGGCCCCCACTATGTCCCCTAA